CACCCCCCAAAATGGGCTTTCAGAGAGGCTCATGGGAGATCCGCATGCACAGTAAGACTCAGGTCATATAACTCTGAATTGTCAATCAAAGTGGTTCCATGATGACGTCTGAACCATGGGGAGGTCCCTATCTGGACACTATAAAACAAGACCAAGACCATAACCAAGGTCTCTTTTTGCTATGACAAGGGGTCCGGTCATCATCTGTGGCACATGTATCTTGCTCTGTAAACCTATGTCTTGCCCTTGCTCTATAATCCTATCTTGCTCCCCCGCAATAAACTTCGCCTCGGGTTTGCCTTACTTTGGTGTGTCTGGTCACCCCTCGGCCAAGAGCACACCAAGAACCAAGAACACAGAATGAGACTGCCAGACCCAGCAGTAGGAGTAGCACAGATGGAGATATTGGCTGCCCAAGATCTCATTCCTGGTGCGAACTGTACCGTCTCATGGTGACAGCAGTGGTTTCCTTACCAACCTGTGTTCCGTGGAACATTCTGAGGCAACCAGGGAGGTGTGGCGGCGTGCTTCCACGCCTGGGCACTACTGGATTTCCTTTTACTAAATTCCTTTTCTGTTTCAATCAGCCAGAATCACTGTTGCTTGCAACTAAGAACCCTGGCTAATGCCACGTTTGGTCGCAGACATCATGCTGCAAGCAACAGACACTCTGACGTGGAACTGGCCAAGTGGAGGTGGCAGGTTAGAAGGCAGTGAGGATCCTGCTCTTCCTGGCTGGGAAGCCGTGACTCTTGTCATGCTATTGCAAAACATGTCGTTTACACCAAGGTTCGACAGACTTTTTCTGTAAAGGGCCAGACGGTAAATGCTTTAGGCTTTGTGGTCTATACCGTCTCTATCACAACTGCTTTTGAAAGCAGCATGAACACTCCGTAAGTGAGTGGCTGGGGCTCTGTCCTAGTAAAGCTTTGTTCACAAAATCTGGTGGTGGGCTGGACGTGGCCCATGGGCCATAGTGTAAGCCGGGTTTAAACTGTCACCTATTTTATACCTACCCTGTACCTGTGGAAGTTGCAGTGTCAGGAGAAATTGCAGAAACGCATCAGGATGTTGGCATGTTCAACTTCTCATGGCCTTCAGTGAGATCCAACAAGAAAAAGTAAATCTTGGGCCAAACGTGGTCCATCCAATGTCGAAATGGAAGAAAATATGGCTTTGTTGGGATTCTTTCTGCCCGAGGCCTGCGATCCCCACCGACGGAGAAGCCAATGATTTGGAGACTAGCTGGAATGAAGAAGTCAAGTTCTAAACCAGGAGTCAGCGGACTTTATCTGTAAAGCACCAGAGAGTAAACATTCCAGGTGTTGCCGGCCACATACGGTCTTCTTTGTTGCATGGTCATCTTTGCCTGTTTGACAACTTTTTTAAAA